CAATTTGCATATTAGGCTTTTATTATATAGGATATGAAAGTAAAAGTAAGGTGGTTTAATATAAAATGTGAGAGTCACACTAGATGATTTTTAAAAGCCAACTTCTATACGCTAGCATGTTTAATACTGACAGACTTTTGTGAACTGATTACAGGAGTTCCTTTCCTGGAATCCCTAACGGATCAGTTCCAGCACTGGGTGACCCAGGGTTCTGTTCAGAGTAAGTAAGCATGCGTCAGAAACCCGCTCCTGTTGGGAAGTGCTGTTTTCCTCTTCATAAAGCTCGTACTAACCCACCAAGAGCTACCAAGAAGCACCTCAGAAAGAATATCATGGACAGGATGCCTGGCCCAGGGACTAAGGCATAATTCCAAGCCTGGGAGTTTACTCACCCAGGTAAGGTGTTTGAGGCACACACGGGAAAACTAGGCTAGGACTCTGCTACCCAGACGCAGGTAAATTACCAAAGGGAAACAAGCTCTTGAGCTTGCTGCCCATGAATGTGAGCATCTGGCCTTTCCACCGATGGCCTTTAGTGCTTGACAGGCACAGTGCTGGGCTGAGTGGCTCTGTACTGTGGCTTGTACCACCTAAATCGGTGTTCTCCACCCGGCTGTGCAGTGGCATTACTTACCAGAACCACTTTAATTAGTCCTGATGCCCCAGCCATTCTCATGTAACCCAGCTGAGGTGTAGCTGGAACATTTGGATTTAAAAAAAAAAAAAAAAGCTTTTCCTGTAATTCATTCCAGTGTGTGGCCAGCCCCAGACATAGATATAAGACCTTCTAGCAAACCTTCCTTTTAAAACCCACCGCCCTATCAGGTCGCTTCCTGGCGCTTGGTTTCCGCCCGAATTTCTCCCTGCAGTAGACGAGTCCCAAAGTGGATTCACCAGCCCGGGTGCTCCTGGGAAATAAAGAAAGCCGGGGCAGGAAAGCGGTTCCGCCCAAACCTGGGCTGAGCAACAGTCCCTCCCCGGGGTGTTGCGCCACCTGCTTCTTCCTTCCTTTTACACTAGCTGTTCTCCAATTGCCAAGCGCCCTGGAAGACTACGCCGCGCCCTTGTCTCTCCTGCGCTCCTGTTGGCACCTGACAGGCCCCCTAGTAGCAGGAACCACGTCCCTGGGGGGCGGGGGTACCCCCTTCTCAGCTCCAAGCCTCGGAACCAGCACCGGGGCGCCTGCCGCTCAGCTCTGCAGCACCGGGGCGCCTAAGGTCCTCTGATCAGGTTCCTGGGGCGCCAAGCCTGGCCGCTTAAAACGCTCCCCTCTCCTCTGGTCCCCCCCAGCCCCCCAATATTTTTGTTTACCTAGAAAGCAGATCTTTACTTTTCCGGATGGCAGCTGGTCGCAGGCCCCACCCGAGCAAAGGGGAAAAGTCCCAGCGCCCGGCTCCAGAGACCTGGTCTCCAGGCCCAGGACCCCTGGTCCATGG